CCTGGTTGCCAGGGGAACCCACCTTTGACAAAAGGGCTGGAACTTTCAGTAAACCACTCCCCCTTCCCGCCCCCAAACTTCCTGGGCAGAAAGAGGGGCTGCAGGTTGAACTGATCACTAATGGCCAGTGAGTGGATCAACCAGGACTATGGAATGAAGCCTCCATAAAAACCCCAAAAGGGTTTGGAGAGCTTCCTTCTGGGTTGGTGATCATGTGGAGGGGCTAGAGATTGGCATTCCCAGAGAGGGCATGGAAGCTTCTCACCCTTTCCCTATACTTTGCCCTACACATCTCTCTGGCTGTTCCTGAATTATATACTTTTATAATAAACTAGTAGTCTAGTGAGTAAAATGTTTCTCTGGGTTCTGTAAGCTGCTCTAGCAAATTAATTGAGTCTGAGGAGAGGGGTCTTGGGAACCTCTGACTTACAGCCAGTGGGTCATAAGCAAGGTGACAACCTGGACTTGACCTTGGCATCTGCTGTGGGAGCAATCTTGTGGCCCCTAACCTGTGGGATCTGGCTATCCCTGGATACACAGTATCAGAACTGAGTTGATTGTAGGACACCCAGCTGGTGGCCGAAACCTGGTTGTTGGTGTGGGACCCTCTCCCTAACCCCAACATACACCAGAATTGGTACCAGAGCCTATTTACAAACCATGAAAGATCTATGTCTTAGCGTGGGTTACCATAACAAAATACCACAGCGGGTGACTTGAAGGACAGACATGTATTTTCTCACTGTTCTGGGGCCTGGAGGTCTGAGATGAGGGTGCCAGCATGTTCAGGTTGAGGTGAGGACTCTTCCTGGTTGTCTTCACCTGCTGGGGTATATGAAAAAACAGAGATAACTCTTCAACTTCTTATGAGGCCACAATCCTATCTGGTCAGGGTTCTGCCATCATGACCTCGTTTTAACCTTAATTACTTACCAAAGACCTGATCTCTGGCCATGGTCACATTGGGGGTTAGGGTCTTAACATATGATTTTTGGGGAGACACAATTCAGTCCTTAGCAGTAAAGAAGCAGCACATAAATATAAACAAATGTTTGGCATTTATCTTTTATCATTTCCTTTCTTCCCGACTTTACTCTCTTGCTCTTTTTTTTAGCTTCTTGAGTTGAACATGTAGCTCATCTGTTTTTAATTTTTCTTCTTTTTGGAGAAGTATATTGAAGATATAATCTTTCATATTGCTTAATTCCATCTGCCAGATTTTGCTGTTTCAGCTCTAAGTATTTCCTGATTTCCCATGTGAGATCCTTTCCAATGCAAGCTTCCATAAGGTCATGGCATCATTATTTTTTAATCTTTTGCTCTTTTTATAAGTATATAATGTTCCTCTTTGTTACCACGTTGGTTTTGTCTGGAGATTTACCTCCGGATTGCTACCGATATACTTTTTATTGACAGGTAAAAGCCAAAATGGGGAAATCTATTTGCTAGATATGAGACAAGAGTTCTGTCTCTACTGTCCTGGTGCCATCCATTCACTCTGTGAAAGGGAGTTCTAATATTGGCTTACTGAAGTCATTCTGCTCAACAGCAGAGGAAATGAGTGGTATGTACGTTTTCATCATTGAGATCAGCTAGGTTGTGCTGTGTTCACAACGAAGCCCCAAGTCTCAGGAGCTGAGAACAACCGAGGTTTATTTCTTGATCAGGCTACATGTCATCAGGGGCTGGAATGACCCTAACCTTGCTCAGTGTGGAGGATCGAGTCGATGGTAGTTGAGAGAGGCTCCATCCAATTTCTTGAACAATTGCCAGGGGAAAACACACTGACTGTCCCTGGTGAATCTCGCACAGTCTGCCAAAGCTTCTGCCTAAAACATACCACTTCACTTCTGCTCAAGCTTCATCAGCCAGAGTGCCACACAGTGGGACCTAACTTCAAGGAGTCAAGAGAATAGATTTCTCTTGTGGGCCACAGGAGAGCTGACTACATTCCAAAGCCAACTTTTGCTTCTTGTTGGTTTGTTGATTTTTGTTTTGTGAGTTATTATATATCCTTCTAGTAAGTTTCTTTTTCTTTTTTAAGAAGATTTTTATATATTTATTTGAGAGAGAGAGTGCATGTGCACAGGAGCGGGGGGGGGGGTTGCCGTGGGAGAGGGACAAGCAGACTCCCCACTGAACGGGGAGCCCCATGATATGGGGCTCCATCCCAGGACCCCTGAGATCATGACCTGAGCCCAAGACGGATGCTTAACCAACTGAGCCACCCAGGTGCTCCTAGTAAATTTCTTTAATAAAAGACCAAACCAAGCTGAAGTTAGCCAGCGTTAGTTTCTATTGCTTAAAAAAAAAAAAAAGCTACAGAAGGCATTGGACTTGGCATTATATACGCGACTGAGCAGATTAGGAAGGTGAACTTCAGTTTACACATTGGGCTGGTTTGAAGGAAGGGCACACACATATTTTTCAAGGATGAGATTTCAAGAAGCAAGGCATGGCAGGAGCCAATGTTTAGATCCAAATAATGATTGGGAGCCACCACAGGCCAGGCAAAGCCAGGTATTTTTGCATATGCGATCTAAGTCAATTTAATTCTTTATGAAAACAATTCGAGGTGAGTCTTATTATCCATGATTTATATCTGCAGACACTGAGGCTCAGAGAGGTGAAATGACCTGCCCAAAAGCCACGTAGCCAGCGAAGGACAGCTTCACTTTGACTCTCTCATCTGAGCATACAGAGGTGAAACAGAACCGTGCAAGGTGTATGCTTGGAGAGCGGGTACTGTTTGGTTTGGCAGGACGGTGAGTTACATGAAGGGTGGGAGGGGACCTTGAGTACAAAGGTAAAGAGGTTTGAGTTTATTGGTTAGGCAGTGAGAGAGAGGTTTTGAGCCATAGAGGGCATTAGCAGAGCTATGATTGATTGATTGATCTGCTATTGGTGTCTGGGATGTTTGGAAATGAGGCACCCGCAGACCTGGAGACCAGCTGGAGGAATATTCTAAAAACTCTGAGAAGCCTGAATGAGCATGGGTGTTGGCAGTGGAAACAGAAAAAAAAAAATCTTATCCAGTCTCCAGACCCATTGGGAATTGCTGAATGAAGTCTGAGTTCTCCCTATGTAGGTGGCTCCTACTTTTCATTATAGGTTTCTCAAAAATTTGCTCCCAGAAAAAGCCTGGATCAGGAGTGGGAAAAAAATAGGCAACTGCCTAAGTAAGAAGTCTACAAAACTCCTTCCCCCCAGACCACCTCTTCCCCATCAGTTATGGGACCTAACATTTCACCAGTGGCTTTTATTCTGTCAAGAGTCTCTTACTCATGTGTGACTATTTGGGGACAAGAGGCAGAAGGGATGCTGGCAAGTTTCCTCATTGGCAGTGCCCAGGCAAGTAAGAGAAAGGTGTGGGGACAATCTGCTATTTCAACAGAAATCTCATACCCAGATTTTATGGGGGCAGGAGGGGTGTGGGGGGGAGGGAAGCCCTCAACTTAAAATATTGCAACCAGTTTAAATTTCTTAATATCACTCTGCTGGCCACACCCAGCTCTCCGTTTGTCATCTCTGGGTTCAATTTTAAAGCCATTGGATCAAAACCTTTCCAAATTGGAGAAGTGCATGTGTAGTAAAGCTAGATACAGAGCAGGTTCATGTGGATTGTTGAGGGGGTGCATGGAGAAATGTGGGCTCCAGGCACAGAGAGCCCTGGGCCAGATGCCGGGTGTCCTGGTACCTGGGCATTGAAAGGAAGATGGGCCATGGCGGTGGCAAAATTTGCTACAACTGGGGCCTCCTGGCTGACCACCCAGAACCAGGCTCAGAGTGGAAAGAGGGATGGGCCAAGCATGTGTTTCTTTCTGCTCCAGTTGGCCTCATCCCATTAACATTACAGTAATGCAGTTGTGTGGTGTTTGAAAATAGTTACAGGGAATGATTTACAGGACACCAGACTCTGCATTTCAGAGGTCTCCAGTGTACCATAAAAAATATATTATAAAGGAATAATCTTTATCTGAACTAAAGCTGCAGTGAAGGAAACTCATGTCCAGCTGAGAGCAGCAGTGAGCTTTTGTTCACTCAGGGAAAAGTCCGTGTTCTTCATCTTATTTGATTAACATTTTTCCCCCCTCTTTGGCACTAGGTATCTAGTTAATATTTAGACATTATATACATTTTCTTTCAACTGTTGTTCCTATTATGTGATCAAACAAAACCAGAGATGCCAACCACATCAGCCTGCCCAGGGAAAGCCATCCCACGAGGCACCCAACTGTGGCTAGCAGGGTAAACAGGACTCACACGGGAGCCAGAGCCTGGGAGAGCCTGGCCCGAGGGGTGTGCCGGCCCAGCCCCTGTCCCCAGGAAGCAGAGTTCGCTAGAGTGCCTCAGTTTATCACTCTGCCTCTTCCTCCCATTCCCGCTACCTCCCCGAGCAAAACGCAACGGGAAGCAGTGTCTAGTTTTGAATCTTCCAGAGCCTTCTGATGTTTACCATTCCCCCCAGGAGAGGGAGGTGAGGGATGGCAGTCTCTCTGCAAAGAAAATACACTTTAAAAAATTCAATGAAGCGATGCACAGACACCCTGCAACCCAACTTGTCTCTGCTTATTAGGTGTTCAGAGCGATGATGGGCTCAAGTCTATTTCAGTCCAGAGAAATCTGAACTCCTTTAGTGGCGCAGGTGTACCTGTGATTAAGGGTGTCGGGTAGGGGACAGCCTCCTCTTTTGGAGCAGGAAGCACAGTCACCAGTGGCGGGACAGTCGCAAAAGCTCTGGGGCTGTGATACCTGGGGGCTTGTGTCAAAACTCCACCCACCAGGAGCTCCAGGGTAAGATGGGGAGGCTGGAAAGATGGAAGTTTGAAGGGGAAAACAGTTACAGAGAAGAAATCATTCCCGGGCCCCCGGCAGGAGGATATCCGGGGTGAGAGAAGGGCGGGTCAGGGATGGGCCGAGTTGGCCTGGAGTCCCAGGGGAAAAGGGGAAGCGACAGCTCGCCGTCCTCGGGCCCCCAGCTCCCCGGTGCGCGGCACCGTCTCCGTGTCGCTAAAAGTATCGGGAGAGGGATGGAGAGCGCAGCGTCCCAGGCTCCCCGGGGAGGAGAAGCACGCGGGGCTGGGCGGGGCCCGCCTCCAGTGCTTGAGTGTCGAGTGCGGGGGGGCACGATCTCCGCTCTCCCGGGCGCCCCAGCCCCAGCGCACGCCTCCGCTTCCGCGCCCCCCTCCGCAGGCGCGCGCGAGGCGCACTCCCCCTCCCTCGGCGGCGCGGGGCGCGCGCCCGGCCCCCCCCCTCCTCCCCTCCGCGCCTCTCGGCTCTCCCGGCAGAAAGTTAGCAGCGGGGAAGGAACTCGGGGCTGCAACAGCGCGCGGCGGCGGCGGCAGAGGCTGAAGCAGGAGCCGCGGCGGAGCCGGGGAAGCGGGGGCGCTGCAGACGGAGCAGGTGCAGCCGGCGGGTCCGCGCGCCCCCCTCGGTCCCCTTGACAGAGGCTGAGGGGGGGTGGTGGGGGGCCGCCCGGACTCCGCGGGAAGAGTGGGGAGGGGGGCCATGCGGCCGGGCTCCCCCCCGGCGCAGCGGGACAGCGGCCAGGGCCGGGGGCGCAGCGGCGTCGCTTCATGCAGCCGGGGCGGCTGGGCAGCGGCGGCGGCGGCGGCGGCGGCGGCGGGGGCGGCGGCTGAAACCATGTCCGGGCAGCGCCGGGGGCCGCCGCCGCCGCCGCCGCGAGCCGGGAGCCGCGATGGCCCCGTGGCCCGCACCTCCTCCGCCTCCGCCTCCGCCTCCACCTCTCGCCGCGCCGCCGCCGCCCGGCGTCTCTGCTAAGGGGCCGCCGGCGCGCAAGCTGCTTTTTATGTGCACCTTGTCCCTGTCCGTCACCTACCTGTGCTACAGCCTCCTGGGCGGCTCGGGCTCCCTGCAGTTCCCCCTGGCGCTGCAGGAGCCGCCGGGCGCCGCCGCCGAGCCCCCACCGAGCCCGCCGCCACCCTCTCTGCCGCCTCCCCCCGTGCGCCTCGGCGCCCCCTCGCAGCCGCCCGCGCCGCCGCCGCCGGACAACGCGAGCCGCGGGGAGCCGCCCGAGCCCCCCAAACGGCCCGCCGCCCCCGGGGCCGACGGCTGGGGGCTGGCGAGCGGCGGCGGGGGCGCCCGGGACGCCTGGCTCCGGACCCCGCTGGCCCCCGGCGAGATGATCACGGCGCAGAGCGCGCCGCTGGAGAGGGAAGCGCAGGAGTCCAGCACCACCGACGAGGAGCTCGCAGGCCGGAGAGCGGCCAACGGGAGCAGCGAGAGGGGCGGCGCCGCGAGCACCCCGGACTATGGGGAGAAGAAGCTGCCACAGGCGCTTATCATTGGGGTCAAGAAAGGAGGGACCCGCGCGCTGCTGGAGGCGATCCGAGTCCACCCGGACGTGCGGGCGGTGGGCGTTGAGCCGCACTTCTTCGACAGGAACTACGAAAAGGGGCTGGAGTGGTACAGGTAGGACCCTGGGCTCGGCGGGATGGGATGGACGCACCGGAGACCCGGCGCGAGCCGCCGCTTTCCGGGCCCTTGGACACCCAGGCGCCGCCGTCCCGAGAGCCCTTAAGCCCCAATGGGGGCTCTGCCAACCCTGGCGGGGCCGCTCGGGGGGAGCGGCGGAGAGGGCTGGACTCTGGCCAAGGGTCACTTTATTTCAGGACGAGGGGTGGAGGTGTCGCCTTGCTTCTGTCTGCCTCCGGTTTCTCATCCGGGGAGATTCCTTCTGAATCTGCCCAGCTCCTAGCCTGGGAATCCCCAGCCTTCGTGCCCGCGGGGTGTTTCCTAGCCCGGGCTCTGGCGGGGCTCTGGGCTTCTGCGTTGGGGACGCCAAGGAGCGAAGCAGGGTAGCTAGATGGCTCTAGGGGCTTTGAGATCCCCTGGAATCTCTCCAAGTCGCCCTGAAACGCATTTGCGTGGCTGGAATCCAACTTTAGTATTCTCAGGTTAGAGCAAAATGAACAGGCAACAGTTAAAAAGATGATGCTGGCAAGTTCTGGCTTTCTAGTAAAGACCGGGGATGCCCCCCATCTCCAGAACTTTATATCCCCCTTGGCTGAATGAACCCTGGGTTGGTTCTGCCTCGGCAGCATCAGTGTCTACATGACAGTTGGTGCCCTAAGAGTTTCTGTGCACTGCACCCGTGCCCTTTCTAACCCGTGCCTCCTTCGCAACAGATTGGAGCTTCTGGCTTGTGAAATGTTCACCTCTCTCCTTTTCCACCCTCTGCCCGTGGTGAGAGAAAGGGAGAAGAGGAGTAGAAAGTTCGGTGCAGGTAAAATAAATTAATAATCCAGCTTTCTTGCCAGCCATAGCATTTAACTCCATACTGGTGCAGATTCCAAAAACAAACCTCCTTTGCTCCCCTCCCTTCCTTCCGTTTTAGATCTCTCTGGAAAACAGATCTGGATGGCTGGCCCCATCTCTGTTGCATCTCAGTAATTAATTGCAATTGTCAAACAGAAACACAGGCTTTGTCAGCTAAAGTGATGTTATCATCTTAACAGAGCCAATAGGTAAAATACGAGGATTGTTTCCTGACAAGTTCCCTTCGTGTTGAAGAGATGTGCTTTCTAAGTTTAAATTACAGCCTGGGAAAAGTTTTAGAAATAGCTTAACTTAAGAAATAGATAATAAATGGGTGTATTGTGATTGACTTCTTCCACTTTAAAAAATGTGCCTTATGCTTTCAAAGCTTGAGAGAAGTACATTCCACCACATTAAACTGAAACAGCAAATGTGTCTGTTAATGTCTTGTCTGTTTCAGCAGCGAAATCTAATTGCAATATTTTAGGAGGCTTCAAACAACCCCTTCCTATCAAAACATAAAACAGCAAATGCCTAATTTAACTGGAAAAATCAGTCTTTATAACATCACGAGCCATGGCTCCCAGTTTGCGATTATAATTAAAAAGGTGTTAGGATGATTAATGCAACAACAGCAATATAGAGAAGGGGTATGATGTCTTGGGAGGGTTTCAGTTGTTTAACTGTTGATTATGGGGATGTTCTGGTTTCTGCTGTGAGGTAGCCTTGGCCCTACGAGGGTAACAGTGGCTTTTTCAATTCTAATTTTAAAGCTGTGTATCTCAGGAGAAGTGCCAAGTACCCTTCTGGGGGAGAGCGAGGCATAAAGATCACATCTTTCCAACATGTGTTCGGGTTGCTTTGTAGCAGCTGGAAATAGAGAAGGGACTGTTTTATTCAGATGCCTTAAAGTTTGATGAAGGGTTCGTGGTGGAATGCGTGTCAGGAGGTCCCACTGGTGGGGCTGGAGAATTTTCTGAATGAGAGGACAGGAGATGCCAGATTTTCTTAATCTTCTTTCATGCCGAGGGCTGGGAAGAGGAGGCATGGAGACAGGCATGACAGGGCTGTGGAAGGTTCTAGCCTAGCACTGTGGTACCCCGGCCGTCCCTCATGTGGTCTTTGGGGCTGAGTGTGAATATTTGGTACCCATCCACAGAACTGTTATACTGAAGACATGTGGGCAGATTCCCTTGATCCTCACTTAACAGGACCATGGGATTTCTCTGTGGCCTCCCCATCCTTGACCCCAGTGTCTCAGCCACGGCAGATCCTTGTAGTGCTTATAGGTGCCGACTGCAAGTGCTGGAGAATAATCTATGTAACACAGAGAGTATCAGTAGCCCCCCAAGCCTGGCTGCTGAGAAGACTTCTAGAAACCCCTTTGGCCCATGGGAGTATGCTGAGGCTGCTTGGATACCTCTCCAGCCTTACGAGGGACAGCAGTGCTTTGAGGGTATTTGTGGGATTTTCACGGGCTCTCTCTTCAGGCTCCTGTCTCTCCCCTGGAGGAAGAGGGGATGACATCCTCATTATATTGTAGAAAAGGAAACGGTGGCATCAGTTCAAACCAGTAAAGGAAAGCCTTCCTCTTATTTCCCTGCTCCAACTGCATCTTATAAATGGCGGCATCTGTGCTTGAATGTGCTTGAATGGCCACGCTTCCTCCCCATCCGCGGAGTAGTCAATGCAAAATCTTCCACTCGCCAGAGGAGAGGGCCACAGATGAATGAAAGGTTTTGATTCTCTACCCCACTTGTTTTCTTTCCCTTTTTCTTGTCGAGGTGCTCCTGCGAGAGCCTAATTCTGCAAGTGTTTCTGGGGTCTGCTGTTATCAGCCAGAGGGAGAAGTGAGAATTCGGGGGCAGCTCCCGGCAGCATTGTTTTGGGCTTTCATCCTATCCCAGCGGAGCAGCCTTGGGAGTTTTTTTCCCTCCGTGTCACTCCAGCCTTGTCTAAATCCGCGTTTTGCTTTCTCCTGTGCTGTTGATCTAATGTGATTTAAAAACACATTTGAGATTGGAACGCGTGCCTCAGATTTCAGGGCAAGATAGACTAATGGATTAGGATGGGAGTGTTAAAACTATGGGAGAAGCAAGCCTCCCTTGGTGGATTGACCCAGGCCCATGACTCCTAAGTGTGTGTGTGGGGGGGGTAGACTTGACCCTCTTCTCCTCACCCCTCCAAACCAGTAAAATAAAAGGGCTAAGCCCCAAGGCACCTTCCAGAACCGACTACTCCAAGCCTTCTGGGCAGAGACCTTATACTCTTCTAAGGGGTGGGACCTGGCAGCCGCGGCAGAACTCATCCAAGTGACAGGGCTGCCTTGCGGTGTGACCTCCCGCATGGCTTACAGACTGTGCAGCAACCCTGACCTTGGCTTTGGAAACACCTCAGTCCCGGGGAGATGGGAAGGGAACCTCCATGGTTTCGGATGGTCTGCACTGCCAACAGTGAATACGCTCCTCCCATTGGCGAGGGGAAAATCACTCAGGAAGACCGTTCCCATAGTCATGCTTGTGCTACCCCCAGGAAGGTGGTCTGCAGCACTGTTTGTGCTGGGTATCTGGAGAATGAGGGAGGACGCCAGAAGGACACTGGCAGTTAGGGAATGCTTGTTCTTTATGGAGCCGGGCACTTCGTGGACGTCCTCTCATGTTTGAGTGTCATAATGAGGGTTGTGGATGACATAGCAGGCTTCGTGTTTTACAGGTGGCCCTTGGAGTGCACATGACTTGCTCAGGGTTGCTCAGCTGGTCAGTGGTTGAGCTGACCGCATCTATCCAGTTTCACAATACTGGTTTCTTGGTTTCTTCCTTTGTATCCCACCACCACACACAAAACACTAGCAAGATGTTTTCCTTCCTTCCTTCTTACATTTAACCAACATTTTAATAATATCTTACCATGGACCCAGAACTGTTGTAAGGACAGGGGATAAAGTGGTGACTAAGCACTTTGTGCTCCTGAAACTGACATTGAAGTGGTGGGCAGGGGAGACAGGAAACAGTCTTTCTTGTTACCTTTTTCGTGTGGCTACTAGAAAATGTACCATCATGCTGGTGACTCACATTAGATTTTCACTGGGCAGGGCTCCTAGTGGAGCAGTGCTTTTTAAGCTTTAAACGTGCACGCGTCACCTGGGATGTTGTGAACATGTAGGATTCTGATTCAGCAGGTCTGCGGAAGGCCCTGAGAGTCTGCCTTTCTAACTTCTAGGTGCTGCAGATGCTGCTGATCTCTGGACCTCACTTTGAGTAGCAGGGGTCTAGAGAGAAATTAGTGTGTGCGTGTGTGTGTGCACGCCTAGGTTATTTTAAATCAAATGACTAGGGAAACTTCCCTGTGAGGGTGAAGTAAATGAAGTGAAAGAATAAGAGTCTGCCAGGTAGAGATCTGGTTAGAGTGGTTTCCAATAGCGGGAATGGCAGATGCAAAGGCCCTGAGGCAGAAACAAGCCTCGTGGCTTTATAAAGGGTTCTTTCAGTATTCCTAAAGCATAGTGTTTGTAGCTGGACAAAACTGGGTTCAAAATCTGGTTTTACAACTTACTGGTTGAATAATTTTGGGTAGATAACTGACTTAATATCACTCATTTTCAGTTTGTTTATCTGCGAATAATTCCTTCCTCGCAGGATTGTTGGGGAGAATAAATGAAGTAATAAAGGTGAATGTATTCCCCGCCCCCCCCAATGAGTATCTTAGAGCAGAAATCCAAATGGACCCAACTCCTGTTTTTTTTTTTTTTTTAATTTCTCAAATCATTTTGGTCTCCTCTGCTTTACCTTTGATCACAGCTGTCCTAATATTGGCTGAAGAGTCTCCTATTGGGGATGTTTTTGGGAAAAGTCTAATAATGATTGGCTTTGCAGTCTACATCTGCCTGACTTTAAACCAAGGGGCACCAACTCGGAAACCCAGTGAAATAGACGAGGGGAGAAACCGGGGGCACTTCTCCATCTGCAGGTCTCAGCCACTGCTCTGTTCCAGCTACCCTTTTCTGTGTGCAAATGTTAACCACATCCTCCACTTGGTAGGAGAAATTGGAAATCCAGGCTTTGATGTGAAATCTCTTGGTTTTTAACTTTGGCAAACCCGATTAAAATTTCTTAAAAGCCTTGTGTGGGCCAGCACTGTGGGACAAACAAAATACATCTGTGGGCTGGATACAGCCAGCTGGCTACCAGTTTGTGACCTCTGGTTTAAACTCATTTCAGAAAGTAACTGGCATAGCCAGACCCTTTGCACTTGCCAGAATTGTGGCTTACATGTGCTATTTTAGTTTCCATTTTTTCCCCCTTTACAGATTTTGCAACAGCAAGGGGGGGGGGGGGAATACCTCCCAGATATATTGCAACAATAACAAAAGGAGCTGGAGATAAATAGGAACACTGAGGCAGAAATAGACAATTCACAAATACATTTCCCTTTTGTTCTCAGTGAACATTTTTTTGAAGGTGGGACAACTCTTCAGTTGTTCACTCATTAATCAGGAGCGCGAATGTGATCCATATATATATAATAAGTTGCACCTATAAAATAGATTCCGGTCAGGTGGGTTCAGTAAGACCCAAGAGATGAAAATAATTGGGTTCTAGCTTTTGCTCTGCCACATTACTAGTTGTATTGGACCTCAGGTTACTTGGTCTGTTTCTTTCTTTTTAAAAAAATTCTGTTTCTTAGATAATGAGACTATATTGTCTCCAGAGGTCCATTCAGTGACACACTTGGGTTCTAGAACAGACTTCTGTGTTAGACTTTTCGGAGTGAGGAAACTAGTAGGGGAGAAGCAACATTGTTTGGAGCATGTTCTTATTGGTCTCAGAGCCAGAAGCCACTGTGTCTTCCTGGTGTGACCACCAGGCCTCAGTTTCTTTATCTGCAGAATGGGCTCAGTATTACTTCCCTTCCAAGGGATTATGCGATGATGAAATGAGTTTGTGATGGAGGACATCGCTCTCTCCTACT